TTTGAATGGTAGTTTCTTCGAGGTACAGTGAATTAGGTACAGGCGGGGTTTAATTTTGCAAGGAGTTCAATTTATGGTTATTTAATTTTAAAATAATTTTGTTATAGCAGGAGAAACGACAGCTAAAGCTAAACCCATGGAGACGGCCGAAACTGCAGTAGACATTCCTCCAGGTAATGTAGAATTAGGAGACTTTGTCGTGTTAGTTAATGTAAGGGATGAATAAAAATCACACAGCAAATCGGTTGATTCGTTTCAGACGCGGGCGGATTAATTGTGACTTTGGAGGTATTTTCTGGTGTTCCCGACCCACAGTGGATGATTCTTCGCAATAACTCCAAGTTCCAGGAGATAAAAAAAGGTCTGCACCGTGGACGAAAATACGCCCCAGAAAACGCGCCTGGAAAGCTTGGCTACGAAGGATTTCTAGTTCAAGAGGTGAAAGACGGGAAAAAGCAACCGGAAGTACTGATCGTGGGCCGGGGAACAGTAATGTTACAGCTACTACTACTCAAGAGCATACCAAAAGATATGATATCGGAAAGAATTTACAACATTGTTCAGAAGGAAATACAAGGTGGAAAAGTCGGGGCCGTATTATACAGTACCAAGAAGCGTCACGCGCCTTCGTACCGTCCATCGTATTGGAACCATGAAGATCATATCGAACTTAATAACTGCTACAACTATGGAAGCACTATCAGAACCGATACCTTTGCGCAGCCTGGACTTGCATCTGGACGACCGCTTCCTCTCCTGTTTAAAGCAAAGGACGTGAAAATTTCTGCAGAGGCTGATGGCTTAAGATTTAAGCGAGCCCTACCCTCCATGCGCCCCCCTGCTGGACGAAGACACTTGGTAGCCTTAGTTCATTACGAAGGTGAGAATGAAATAGACTGATTGAAGGTAATAAATGAGCAAAATATCGCGGGGTTAAAAATTGTTGCAATTTGCTCGCTTATGAAGTCTTGTTAAGAATGTTGGATGTTCCATCTCGTAACATGATTTTACTCTGATCGACAACAATGTTGTTGAATAAATGATAGAGTTGCGCCTAACTACAATATCGTCAACAATGCGAAACCACCATTTGGGAGGGTGCGAGAATGTGAAGATCGCCGTTTCCTCAATTTCTTTCATAACCAGGTCGGCTAAAACTCAAATCATCGGCAATTAACCCAAATATATAGTTCACTTTGGAACTAGAAAACACCAATGGGCAAGGCTTACCTTTTCTAGACACCATTACAAGTAGACGCGGCACAGACATTCAAGTGGATGTTTACAGAAAACCGACACACACCGACCGTTATCTCGATTTCTTTTCGTGTCATCCTTTGTGCCACAAAAGATCCGTAGTCAACACTTTGCTGAAAAGAGCAAACAACATTCCGTCAACGAATAAAGGAAGACGAGACGAAACGCAACGAGTCAAAGCCGTTCTGCGAGATAACAATCATCCCATGTCTTTTATTCAAAACTGCGAGAGGTCGTTAACCAAACAACACGCCGAGAACAAATTCAATGGCTTTGTAGTGTTGCCGTATGTACGGGGCGTTTCCGAGAAAATAGGTCGCATTTTGAAACAACAAAAGGTCAAAATAGCTTGCAAACCTCAACTAACCATCAATAGCCTTTTTCCGCGCCTCAAAGAGCGAGACGATTCTGACCGCCAGAAATCAGGCATAGTGTACAAAGTCAATTGCACACAGTGTAATTTTGTGTACTATGGCCAAACAGAAAGATCATTAAAGACCCGAATTGCGGAGCACAAAAAGGCAGGTTTTGACCAAAACTCCAAAGTTGCAAGCCATGTTCACCATTTCAGCCACAACATGAATTTTGAAAACGTCAAGGTTGTTGGTTTCGAAGCTAATTACCACGAGCGACTGTTCCTCGAGGCCTGGCACTCTACTTTGGACCCGAACGCTGGGACGATCATATCGTACTTCCAGAAGCCTACAAAGGCATAGCGCGAGCATGAGTTACATGGTCCCGTTACGTTACTTTAAATAGCGTATGACAACGAACTTCGCTTTCATATCACTGATGAAGGCTTAAGCATTAGCCGAACGTCTGTTGAAAAATATCAAGAATCAGTGGTAAACCTTTTTCCCACAGAACTTATGACATCTCCTGACTACGCTTTTTCCATTTTTAATTACAATAGTGAGTCATTGGTCTCTTAAATTTCTAAAAGAAAAGGAAAAGAAACTTGAGAGTCAAGGACGGTAGCATTAATCGAGGAAATGCGATAAAGCACATACGTAAAAGTTTCAATGTACAGAAGATTAGGAACGCATTGAGAATTGGTTGCCACTTTATGATGTGCCGTTGAAGTTTCTGGCTCGTTTTTTCCATAGATTATTCATCTCTATACGATGCGAATTAGTTTGAATAAACCAGCAAGCAAACCAATCAACTAACCAGCCAACCAACCATCAATTAGCCAGTCATACCATCAAAATCCTAAACTTTAAATGAATGTGCGAGAAGATCGCCACATAAAATCTTAAGTTCAACCGAGTAAAAATACAAATGAGATAACCGCAATAAAAATACGTCTTTTGCTTCACGAAATATGCATTTCGCTTTTGTTTGTTACGTATTTGTTGTTTAATCATTTTCATCATGATGAGGCTAAAGGATAACGCGCGCTCAGTAAAACAAAATGCGGTGTTCACTCAACCGGAACATCACATCCACTGTAAACTATGAATTGCTTAGAAAACGCTTACAGATTTCATTATTTTAGTCTTAACACAAAGAAACAACGTGACAAAACGGAATACTGTCTAATGTTTTTCTCCACAGGTGATCCAAATAATCCATATGATCGTGATTATCACTGGTACCGTTTGGATGATAACGGATTCTGGTCACACAAACCTGGAAGAACTCACGCCACTGACAGGGATGGACGAGGGAACAGGATCCGAGATCCACGAACAGCTGCCAATGGCTTCATCCCTTATAAATTTGTTTGTTTCATGACCTTGAATAGATTTACTGTTAAAGTTAGGTAAGAAATTGATCTACTTTTCAAGCAAGGTCAATGTCGCATTTGCTGCCATAGTACCAGTTGTAAGTGTTCACTTTAGTGGAGAGACCTGTAACCACAGAAACGTGTAATGCAGTAAAACCAATAAAAGGGTGTTGAAAACCTAATGTGTTCACTTTGACGTGTGTCGTTGCACTATTGAAATGGTTTTTAGGGGCTGCCTGCCGCTAAGGCACTAAGGCTCTATGGCGCCAAGGTGTAAACTTTAATGTTTGTTTAATAATTAATTAATCTCAGTTAATTAATTAGTCTAGAGGCAAGAAAGTGGTAGGATTGGGGTCAGTCATTTAATATTGAAAGCTCGTGTATTCTGGTTTTGAGCATATGGATCATGTCGCTAGAATAGTACAAGTTGGCTAGTAAATCAACTCAATATTTTCGCAAAGTCGTATTTTAAGTCAGAAAGTTAGGACTTTTTCACCCCTGCTGTGCACATACTGCTTTGAATGACGGTTATCTCTTTTTTTGTCAAGTTGCATACTTTTGCTATTCTGTATGAATTTATGGTCACGCAAATGAAGCTGCTTGTTCTGTAGGCAGTGGTACGGTTAAAGGCACAATAGTAACTATCACAGAAGTATACCATACCGTACACCACTAGTATGCAATGAGAAATTTTGGAGAACTATATATAATATATACAGTATGCTTGACTACAAAAATGCACAATCCAGAGATGTATTTGGCTGAATACACAGCAAAAGCTGGAGGAAGTTGAACTGAATTAAATGAGTACGAGTTAATGGAGTACATTGTACTTACTTAAAGAAATTTGTTCCATCCCAGTTTTGCTTACCCTCAGAAAGTCCTTCAAATCTAGAACGTGGGCATTGAGATATCCATACGGCTGATTGGAAACATGGGGAGCACGACCTTAGGGCTGTAATTCGAGGCGTTCAGTTATCAACCCTTAAATACCTTCTTGAGCACAAAGCTAGGAAATACTTCAAGGCTTTCTATTCAAATCAAAGTCTTGCGTGTGTTAGTAAACATTTACATGTACCATTACGCGGGAAAACTTCGTTAACCTCCGGTGGAACTAAGAAATGTGTCAATGTATTTCTTCGATCATAGAAATACATTTTTAATCGTTGATTGTTATATTGTTTTCGTTACATGAAAGATCGTCTTGGAAACTTTCACACTTAAAGGAAACAAATGGCTAGTTTTAGCTTTAGATAGGTTTAACAGGTTTATGTTTGTATAAGCTGGTGAAATATCTGGTGACCAAAGCTACTGTTGTCTACGCTTTCAAAAGCGTTTGTTCAATTGCCATTACAAACTTTACAAGAACGAAACTGTGTTTTGATTGTGGTTAAAACTATGGTAGTTTTTTTTCCAGGGAATGGCCTTGCTCTGTACGTGTAAGCACTAACCGTTAAACTTTACTGTAAAAGTATATTTTGGTATCAGTATGGTTTACTTTCGTGACGTGCGACAAAACGCACGTAGATTCTGGTAAAATGTGCCATTTTGGGGAAACATTTTAAACCTACTGTCGCCGCCAATATTTACGGAGAAAATAAAGAAAAAGCTAACAACAATTGAAGTAGAAACTAGGTAAGAAACGAATATAAAGGGTGAAAAAAACATACTTACCGATTGTCCTCTGTGTACTCCTGAATAGTAAACGCAACGTAAACGTAACAAACTTCGAAAAGAAGTACCCTTCTCTTTCACATCACAGCACCCTGACAATGAACGAGGTTTTGAATAACTGATCATTTCATTCAGATCATTTCAGAGAGTCTGATATAAGTTTGGCTGAACACTGCAGCAAACTCTCAAACCCTCTCCGTCAGTTTTATAAAGAGTAAAATATATTTTAACGTCTTTTAAAGAGCTACTTTAATCGTCAGTTACTACTGTCAATCAACGGATGAGTCAAAATTCAATGACATCTGTTGAACCGTAACACTCATAACAGGTTCGTGTCTTAAAACCTTTTAGGTGCCATGACAAAGTCGTTTTCGCAAATTCCTACATCATATGAGATGACCACATCTTTTGTCATATTAACTGTAGAAAAGAGCATTGCTGACAATTACTTGTCATGCACAGTCACTCAGATACTATGGCTCGATGGTGCTTTACGCTTGTACTGGGTTGCACTCTCCTTTTTCGTCAAGGACTTGGTGAGGGTAAAGAGGGTAAGCAAAGAAGTTTCCAATAAGTTCCAAATCAGTTAATTAAATTAACCATATTTATCCATAAATTCACGTTTTCTTCATTACATCGTGCTTCCTGCTTTTTGTATATTGATGTAAAGCAAACAGTTCCAACGTACATCGGTAGCAATGGGTTTTACAACTGTTAACACTGGGAATCAAAAGTGCACATTTTCAAATGGGGCCGCAACCATTACTGATTTTGTTCGTATATTTCATTCTATTTAGTTTACAGTATAGAGTGTATTAACTCTTAATTTAGTTAGATGCACTTCGCAGTTACCCGTTGAAAGCTTTTACATTTTAGATAAAGCGAGTTAAGAAGAATGAAACTCAGTCCCAGGTATCGGGCACCAAATTAACTTAACATTCCAGTGCACAGGACAGGGCTGTATGAACTCAAGATCACTCAATATGATCTCAGTATATATACAAACACTTCGAGGTGATCCGTTAACAGCGCGAACAAGATTAAACTGACATGGTATGTGAATAGTTAGGCATCAAATTAACTCGATATCACTACATTTTATACAGGGGTATTCAAGTCTTTTATTGCTGAGAAATTCTGCTTAGAAGAGCTTACAATGTACTGAACAGTAGCAACCTCCCTTTCGAGGTTTTATCCCTTCTTGTTAAAATGCTACTTACTATTTCACCAGACAATGACAATGACAATGACAGTGTCAATGACAATAACAGTGACAATGACAGTGCCAATGACAACAATAAGAATAAGAATAAGAATAAGAATAAGAATAAGAATAAGAATAAGAATAAGAATAAGAATAAGAATAAGAATAAGAATAAGAATAAGAATAAGAATAAGAATCATATACTAAATAATACTAAGAAGAAAAAAAGGATAACAAATGCGAAGAGATAAAGAAAATATAGTGCTAGAGAAACTAAAACAGTAGTGCAGTTTACTTTGGTTACCTACAGAACTGATCTTGAATAATGTAAGTGAGGATTACAGTTTTTTGTGGTGTCTCCATGTGCGCAATAAAGCATTTTTCGTTAAATATTTTTGCTTGAGGCCAATTGACAAAATGAGATGGCATTTTTCTGCGTCGCTGAGCCATAACAGAGTATAGGTACATTCCTGGTGGCTGCTCTTGTAACCAACCAAGTTCCAGAAAAAGATACATTTTCAATTTTTTAATGCAGAGTGCACTATTGGGATGGTTTTGGGGTCTGCCTGCCGCTAAGGCACTATGGCACTATGGCACTATGGCCCTATGGCCCTAATACGCTAAGGTCTAAACTTTAATGTCTGTTTAATTAATTAATTTTAGTTAAAGTGCCTATGAAGTAAAAAATAATTGCTGCTGATTTGAAAGGCTTTTGAAGGTAAAGAAGAATGGCGTTTTCCTTTTTGCAATATCTTTTTTCGTTTTAGAGATATTCACGTTTTTGTATTATAAGTGATGACGTCACAGGTGGTTCCACTAAAACAGTTCANGTTATAGGGCTGTCAATCAAGAGGGAACTTTTACTTCCGGCCATAACGTAAAACCTCCATTTCTCCGCCAATATTGGGTGTTTTTCAATTTTGTTTTCAGAAATTAAAGATTACTCTTCGACTATTACTTTGAACCAAAAATCAAAATTTGAAGAAAATTGCCGATCTGAAGGTATACTGTAACCTTAAATGTCTGTTTAATTAATTAATTTTAATTAAAGTGCCTATGAAGTAAAAAATAATTGCTGCTGATTTGAAAGGCTTTTGAAGGTAAAGAAGAATAGCGTTTTCCTTTTTGCAATATCTTTTTTCGTTTTAGAGATATTCACGTTTTTGTATTATAAGTGATGACGTCACAGGTGGTTCCACTAAAACAGTTCAACACTCAATCAAGAATATCTCTAGAAATATCAAAGCAGTGTACTTTAAACTTGGCACCAGAAATGTACATCACAAAAGAAACAAAATGACACCTGTCGTGCCGTCGTCATGACAACAGTTATGCCACTGGTCCTGTTTTAATTAAAACTAACATTACCAGATTTTATCTTAAACAAG